TCGCCACATACTTTGCCACTCTCTTAGCAGCGTACCAGTGGGAAGGTCGGTGTCTCCCAGGCGCAACAAAGCGCGCAAGGACGCTAAGAGGGTACGCTAGGTCTGGGCGAGTACAGGTCATCAGGTACATGAGAAAACCCACCAGCTCAGGATATGGACCGCTGGACTCAAATGGCTCGTCCGAAGGTGGAGCCGTAAGCCCATGATCCACACCAAGAGGGGTGAGCTGTACCTTGGAGAACGGGAAGTGAAACCGCGTGAGGATCTGCTCGACGATATGCGACTGGGTCAGCGTAATGGTGCGAGTTGCCCTGTCCCTGGTGATCTGCAGGCCGAGGTAGCGCTGCAGCTCACCAAGGACAGTGCAAGTGTGTCTCCTCTGCAGTTCCTCCTTCACGGAGGCCAGTGGCTGTCGGTCGGGAGTGGCGAAGACCAGGTCGTCAACGTAAACCAAGACAAAGAACGGGGTCGAGCCACGGCGGAGGAACAGCGATGGGTCAACAGACGACGGAAAGAAGTCAAGCGCGGCAAGAGTCGTGCGAAGTGTGTCTTGCCACTCACGGGGGGCCTGACGCAGGCCGTAGACCGGTCGACGCAGCTGCCACTGGGTCCCAGCAGAGAAAGAGCCAGTGAAGCCAGGCGGGCGACGCAGCCAGATCTGCTCGTGCAGGCTCCCCTGAAGGAACGCTGTGGAGAAGTCCAAGGAGTGTAACTCGTAGTCGCGCTGAGCTGCGATGTGCACCAACATCCGAAGAGTGGTCATCTTGGGGGTGGGAGCGAAGGTCCGGAAGAAGTCTACCCCCTCGCGCTGACCGAAGCCTCTCACCACATACCGCGCCTTGAACACCGGTGGTGATCCAGCCGGCCAATTCACCTTGTAGAGCCACATGCCACTGACGACGTTCGTTCCAGGAGGTGGGACGGCGTCGACATAGGTGCCTGGGGACCTATAAGATGCCATCTCTGCCTCCTCAGCTGCTATCCAGTACGAAGCCCAGGGTCCCGAGACCGCCTCGGCGTGAGTGCGAGGGATCGGGATGTCAAGGGCGTCTGGATCCCCCTCTGGGGCAAGATGCATGGCGCAAAGATGAGGACAGTGGCCGCGAGGAAACCAAGCTCGAAGTGCCTGTCCTCGAGGACCTCCAGGGGAAAGACAGGAGCACCCCCAGAGGACGGAGACCGAGCAGGGCCACTCACTCGGTGACCCGCGTAGTCAAGGCGGTGGGAAGAGGCAAAGCCGGCGACAGTGGTATCAAGAGCTGAGACTGACGACAGGGGTGCAGTCCGGTGAGTGACCAACGCGGACAAAACACGGGAGACGACAGGACAGGAGGCACGGAGGTAGTCGGACAACGGGTCGTGGAGCACAGTGAGGGACGACTCAGGAGGCTGTGGAAGGACCGGAGGAGGTGGAACACGATAGCGGAGAACAAGGTGAAATGGGCCGTCTGCACGGTAACGAGACCGACGGGGCTCTGGAGAAACAGCACAACTGAGGGGAGAACGACGAGTCCACTGGGACGAGGAAAGGAACTGGACGGGGGGAACAGGAGGGGACGGTAGGTGACCACGAACCAAGCGCGCAGGTGCTGGGTCGGGCAGGTCGCGCAGTCGCAGTCGCTGCCGCTCCGCCTCCTCTAGCATCTGCTGCAACGGTACGTGCACCTGTTGCTGCAGTCGTGACCCCTCCTCTGCTCTCTCCTGCTGCTGCTGTGACTCCTCCTCTACTCTCTCCTGCTGTTGCGACTGAGACTGCTCCTGCTGCTGCTGCTACTGCTGCTGCTGCTGATGCTGATGCTGCTGCTGCTGCTGCTGCTGCTGCTGCTGCTGCTGCTGCTGCTGTTGCTGCTGCTGCTACTGCTGCTGCAGTGCCCTCTCAAAACGCTCACGCTCCTCCCTCTCCAACCGGAGGAGACGCTGCTCACGGGTTAGGAAACGTACAGTGCGTGGTGTAGGCGCCACAGTGCCAGTGCCTCCAGCTCCAGCACCCCCAGAACCAGCACCTCCACCACCGACACCCCCCGGGCCTCCAGTACCTCCTGCAGGAACACCCCCAGGCTCCGCAACAACCGGCCGTAGAGAAGAACGAGGAGGGAACTGCGGGACGGACGGGAAGCCATGGGGTGACGCGGGGCGCGGCCGCTGACCTTAGGCTGCCATGTCCTCCACGGGAGTGACCTCCACGCCCACACCCACTGCAACCCCAGAGCCAACACCACCAGCTCCTGCAGCCCCAGTACCCTCACCCTCCGCAACTGCACCTCCCGCACCCCCAGACACGACAGGGACTGGACGCTGCGGGGGGGACGACTGCGGAGTGACGTGCGACACACCTGACGGGGCAGGACGCGAAAGGGGGGGGGGGCTACTAGGGTGACTGAGGGTGGCGCAAGGGTGAGGAACATCGGGGGGGAAAAGATCTCAGTACCTCGGTGGGGGCGACTCCTGTAGTAGCAGACAGACTTGTCGAACGTGACGTCATGAGAAGCGAAGAATTGGTAGGTGACCGGGTCGTAGAACACCCTACCGGAGGCGTCCAAAGGGAAGCCAAGAAAGACGCAGGCACGAGTCCGCGAGACAACTTGTTCGCGCGAGGGGAGCGAACGTGAGCCAGAGAACCCCAGACTCGGAAGTCAGCTGCTACTCCCGGGGAACCTGTCCAAAGGGAGACCGGCGTCACCTGTGGCCGTGCGTCACTGGGCCATAGGTTCAGCTGGTGTGCGGCGTAGAGGACTGCCTGAGGCCACAAGAACTGGGGGGCACCGGCATGGCACATGGAGGTCCGGGCAACCTCCATGACCAGGCAGATGTGTCGCTCGGCTATCCCGTTCTGCTGCGGCGAGTCTGGTAGCGTGTAAGACTGGATGATCCCCCGACCCTGACAGATTGTCTCCAGTTGAGTGGAAGAAAACTCACCACCACGGTCCGAGTGTAGGCGGAGCCCACACAGGGCTCCACCACCCTGGGCTCCACCCCTCGCAAGTAGCCACGGCTCGAGGACGGTAGGCACGTCGGCCTTCCGTCGCAAGGTAAAAACCGTGGTGTAGCGGGAGTAGTCGTCCACCACAATCAAGAAGTAGCGCCCCTGACTTGGGCCAAGGACCGGGGAGGGGCCCGAGACATCCAGGTGAAGGGTCTGTAAGGGAGCCGTGGTGGGGGGGAAAGAGGAGGAGTGAGGGGCAGCGCGCTGCCGACCCTCGACGCAAGGAGTGCACGGCGGCGCAGGCGAGCGGGGAAGCGGGGCGAGCGACTCTGGGAGACCTGAGACTAGACGGTGACGTACCATCCTACTGAGACGTGGGAAGGACGGGTGACCTAGACGGTGGTGCCAGAGGAACGACGGGTGGGTGAGTGACCGGCAGTCGCACGACACAGCAGCCAGCTGACCTGACCTGACCTGACCTGAGTGGTGAGACCCCGTGTGTAGTGAGTACAGACCAGAGCCTGGCTCCCTATGGAAAGTGGCCAGAGGCGCCCCAGTGACACCGACTGTGCAGGAGGCAACAGGCTTGACCAGAGGGTAAGTGGTTACTACTCCAAGGTCGTGGAGGTGACTGACACCCACCAAGTTCCTGGAGAACGAGGGGGTGTAGTAACCTGTGAGGAACCCAGAGGGAGCCGCCGGACACGGGAGGGTAGTGGTGCTGCGAGCAACCACTGGTCCCGCTGTGGAGTCAGCAAGGGCGACAGAGACATGAGTGCGTAGTGGTGTGAGGTCTGTGCAGTCACGAAAGAAACAGCTGGACGCCCCAGAGTTGAGCGTGAACGACAGAGACGCAACCTCGGTGGTCGAACCTGTGCAAGCTATGCTAGCAGGGAAAGCACTAGCAACCTCTACAGCACCTAAGCTAGACAAACAAGAGTAATAACCAGAATGCTCAACACTAGAGTCATCAGCATACACCACAGAGACAGATCGCAAAGCATGGTCTAACTCTACTGCAGACATGTCAAACAACTGCGGACCAACGGTGTGATCCAGCGAGCGCCAGTCGGGGGGGGGTGCGGCCAAGGCCAAAGTGTGCGCGGTAGCGGTCCGTAAGCTGCGCAAAGCACTGAACCGGAGGGTGGAGGAGGCCACAGGGGCCGTCTCGACGTGACCTTGTCTGAGCCCAGTACTGGCAGGGAGTCAAGGCTGGACCCCGCGACGACCAGCTGGACGGGCCACTGCTACGGGCAGTGCTCCCTGGTCCGGCCGACCTCCACTGCTACTGCGGGGGCCACTGCTGAACCTGCTGCTGCTGGCCCAGGAGCAGCTGCTGCTGCTGCTGTAGCTGGTGCTGGGGCTCCACACTCCCCCAGCCAGGACCCCCACCTCCACTACCACCAGAACCGCCACCTCCTCCACTCCCTCCACCTCCTACACCTCCTCCACCACCACCCCCTCCGCCACTCCCACCGCCACTCCCACCGCCACCACCACCTCCTCCTTTCTTGCCGCGCTTCTTTCCCCCCTTGTTGCCAGAGGCAACGGCTGTTACGAAAGCAACTTAGCTTAGCAAGCGGGTTTAACTAGGGCCTAGGCTTAGTAGCCTAGGCCAAGCGGGTGTCGTGAGAGTTAGCCAAGGAGAATCGAGAAGGAGTGTGGTTTCACTATAGCATTGGGATACATATAGCAAACATGAGAAGGTGCACCACCAATAGTACGAAAGCATAACTACACTAAAGCTAAAGCTACAGGCAGTTAGAAATATATATAAAATATATATCGCAACACACCCCCTTAACTGCCTGCAGCACATAGCTAGAGGAAGTCACACCCCCTGAAGGGGTATAGCTAGCGCAGTGGACGACGGCAGAGAGGTAAGTGAGGAGGAGGAGGCGAGAGAGATAGAGAGGAGGAGATGAGATAAGAATGAAGGAGGAGGTGAGAGAGGGATGAGGAGAGGAGTTGAGGGGGAGCCACCCGTGGCGAAACCCTCTACCCCTTATATAAAGGGGGAGGTGAGAGAGTGGTGAGGAGAGGAGGTGGGGGGGAGCCAAGCGCGGCGAAACCCCTCTTACGAACCCCAAAATCCCCACACCCACTCAACCACCCCCCCTTTAACCGCACCCCCCATTTCAGCCGCCCCCTGGAACCGCACTCCCTCCCCCCTTAATTCCTCCACACCCCTGACCCACCCACAGTAGTCGCTGCATTGTCCTTCAAACGCCAGCCCCCCCACCCCCCCGTCCCCACCACCTTCCCCCCACAGCAGCAGCCGCGGGAGGGGAGAGGCAGGGAAGAGGGTGGTGCTGCAGTGGCTCACGGCGGCCACCCCTTCCACACCACCTCCCCCCCACAACCATAGTTGCGGAAGGGAAGGAGACTGAGGAGGGGGGGGGGGATAGAGGGACGGGCGGCTGGTGCCGGCGGCTGGTGCTGGCGAGGTCTCTGCTGGCGGGGTCTCTGCTGGTGGGATCTCTGCTGGCGGGGTCTCTGCTGGCGGTGTAGCTGCTGGCGGGGTCTCTGCTGGCGGGGTCTCTGCTGGCAGGGTCTCTGCTGGCGGTGTAGCTGCTGGCGGGGTCTCTGCTGGCGATGTCGCTAGCGTTGTAGCTGCTGGCAGTCCCGCCAAGCCCTTCCCCCGTCCCTCTCATCCCCCACAGCGACTCTCGCTGCACATGGGAACAGCCGCGACAAGGGGTGACGTGAAGGGGCCACGACGGGGAAGGGGAAGGCGACGGGAGGCGACGGGGACGGCGAGGACTGCAGGTGCGCTGGCGTTCCGCCGCCACTCCCTTCCCCTCTTCCTTCTCCCCCCCACAGCGTTCGGCCGCCACTCCCTGCCCTTCTTCCCTCACCCCCCCACAACGACAGCCGCTGCACACGCGAACAGCCACAACGGGGGGGGGGGGGGTGACGGGCAGGGGGCGGGGATAATGCGACGTGCAGCGGGGATGTGGCGACGAGCCGCGGGGAGTTGACGACGGGCGACATCGGAGGGTTCGTCGCGGACGATCTGACGTATGCAGTGGCGATTTCGCTGACGGGCCGCAGGCAATTTCGCTGGCGATTTCGCTAGCGGGTTGCTAGCGATTTCGCTGGCGGGCCGCTGGCGATTTCGCTGGCGGGTGGATGGCGGGTCCGCTGGTGTTCGCCATAGCGTCCGCCGCGGCTGTCGTGCTGAGCGCCGCGACGAGACAGGCGACGGGACGGCCACGGAAGTACTCGCCGTGGCGGCCGTCACGAAGGTCGCAACTAAGGACGTGACGGGCGCCATAACGAGTGCGTCAGATGGTGGGACCAGAGGAACGTTACGGCTTGATACCATGTTACGAAAGCAACTTAGCTTAGCAAGCGGGTTTAACTAGGGCCTAGGCTTAGTAGCCTAGGCCAAGCGGGTGTCGTGAGAGTTAGCCAAGGAGAATCGAGAATGAGTGTGGTTTCACTATAGCATTGGGATACATATAGCAAACATGAGAAGGTGCACCACCAATAATAGGAAAGCATAACTACACTAAAGCTAAAGCTACAGGCAGTTAGAAATATATATAAAATAAATATCGCAACAACGGCTCCCACCTCTGTTGCAGTGGGGGGGGGGGGGGGGGGGGGGGCTGTCAGATCACCAGCGGCATGCTCGGAAAGAGGGATGTCGTTCTCGAGACGGCTGCCGAGGTAGAGCTTGAGCTTCCGCAACCATGCCGGGAAACCGACAGCGCGCCCCTTAGGGTCGAACTCCAGAACAGTCGCCATAGCACTTGGAGGCGCCTAGGGTGAGAGAGAGGCCCTCTATGTGGTTGGGTAAGGCTAGGGACGGACGAGGGCGGCTAAGAGCAGCCTGGTGTGGTTGAGTGCGGTTCTGGTGCGGTTGGGAGAGGTCTAGAGCGGTGGGGAACGATCTGGTGCGGTTGAGTGCGGTGAAGGGCGGTTGGGAGTGGTCTAGTGCGGTGAAGGGCGGTTTCTGGCTGCTGGAAGTGGTCTAGTGCGGGTGAGAGGCGGATTTGATGATGCTGAAAGCGGTTCAACGGTTTTGGAGCGGTTGAGTGAGGTTGAAAGGGGTGGAGAGCGGTTGTGGCGGCTGTTAGTGTTTGCTGAGCTAGAGAGAGGCGGTAGGGAGCCGCGGTAGACACTGAACGGGCGGAAATGAGGGGGGGGGGGGGGGGGGGGGGAGAGAACGCGTGGGGGCCACGGGGCCAGCTAGCACGGGCCACGGGGCAGTCTAACGAAAAAGGGGGGGGGGGGGGGGGGGAGGGGCGTGGCCGCGTGGCTTGCTAACGTCAGGCCTGTTATAGTCACAATAGGCTTGAATGTGCCTAAAACGAAAGATAGAGAGCACAGACGGATTTCTGCACAGCGGCTTCAAACGTTGATAGCGTTCTGCTCACAGCTGCAAATGACCTGATTCAAATTGGATCTGGAGCGTCTTCACGTCGTCTACAATTATCAATTTAGATTGCACGATTTGATAAAGAATTGACGACACAGCGTCGGTTTGAACGAACGGTACTATGGCAGCCACTATAGTCTTAGAACACAAGATAGGAAGAGTTACGAGTTGGGAATGACTCCCAGCTCCTACAAACCCCAAGAGCCGAGGTACAGTGATGTGGAACAGTGCCACACTGTCCCCAACCACGAAGGGTCTCGAAACTACCCTTCACTAGGGCCTACACCAAGTGAAATGTTACACTACACAAAGTAATGTAACTATCTTCAATATCTTGAGGTGTACCCTTTTGGCAAGCTTCGAAATCACTTGAGGCTTGACACCAAGGCTCGGGCTCTTCATCACAAACTCATCCTTGAGTTCTTGATGGGTCTGCTGCACACACCTGCGACACGCCGAACGTTCGACACAGGACAAAATAGAAACCGCGCACGACAAAATAGAAACCGCGCGCGAGACACAAACGACCGCGTAACACGCGTCTAGCGATAACTCGCTATTGACTCGACACACACACTCGACATCATGACTCAACATTCACACACAATTATAAGCATGAAATATATATTATCCCATGCCCTCATACCATTCCATACACACACACATTCACGCACACGGACAACAAGCCAAGTGCAAACCGTAGGGTTGCACCAACAAACTCCCCCTCGGATTGTTGGCCTTAGGATATGTTGCTCTCTCAGTTCAGAGCCATCCCAGCCAGCTTGCAACACTTCCAATGCTGCTGCTCCACCAGCCTCTTGGTCATCATGTCAGCCGGCTGCCCCGTGGTCTTCACGTAGCGCAACTCAACTTCACCCGCGGTTACCATGCTCCTCGTCCAATGCCACTTCACCCTCATGTGCTTCGTGAGTCCATGCAACACAGGGTTCTTAGCAAGAGCAATGGCACCCTGGCTGTCACAGTACAGTGGGGTAGGTCCTTGCTGCTCCTCCCCCAATTCAGCCAACAAACGCCGCTGCCACACAATCTCCCGTACGGCACGGAAGAGTGCCATGTACTCGGACTCCACCGAGCTCAAAGCTTGGTCAACCTGCTTCTTGCTCTCCCAAGCAGTTGGGCCTCCACCAACACAGCATATGAAGCCTCCCACACTTGTCATGTCCTCTGGTTCTGATGCATATGAAGCATCCGAGTAGGCGGTGAGGAACAAACGCCCGGGTTCAACACCATCCGCGCCCTTTTGGCGCCTTTGTGCCGCCGCCGAGTATTGCAGCCCAACGGTCGGTGTTTGGCCAAGATACTTGGCCACCCTCATTCCAGCTGCTACATGCTCCTCATTAGGGCATTGCACAACCCTAGCCAGCTGCCCGGTAGCAAACGCGACGTCCGGTCGGGTGTTTACCGCCGCATACATGAGGCTGCCCACCAACGAATGAAATCGGCGCCTCTCCTCTTCACCAACGCTCTCCTCCTCTGGTCCCTTCACACACTTGAACCCAGAGGGAAAGGGTGTAGCCACATGGCCTTCACTCTGCCCAAAGTTGGCATCCAATGCCTCCAGGTACTTTCGTTGATGCACCCGCATGCACCGCTTCTCCACATCTCGTTCGATGTGGAGCCCAAGGTAGAAGCTCACGTCACCAAGGGCCTTGCACTTGAACTTGTCTTGAAGCTTCAGCATCACCTCCTTCACAAGGTCAGAAGAGGGTGAGAAAATGAGGATGTCATCCACATAAACCACCATGAAACTCCTCTGCTCCCCCTCGCCAAGCATGAACAAGGAGTGATCGGCCGTTGAGGGAGTGAAGCCGATCCCCTCCAACACTTCGCGCAGCTTCATGTACCATTGCCTAGGGGCCTGCTTCAGCCCATAGAGGGCCTTCTTCAGCTTCCACACTCTGCCACTACCATCATCAAACCCCTCTGGCTGCGCCATAAAAATCTCCTCCTCAAGGATGCCGTTAAGGAATGCCGTTACGATGTCCATTTGCTTTACTACCCATCCTTTGATGGCGGCTCCCGCGAATAGGGTTCGCAGCGTCGTCGGCTTCACCACAGGGGCAAACAGCTCCTTGAAGTCCACCTTCTCCTTCTGCTGGTACCCCTTGGCTACAAGCCTAGACTTGTAGCGCTCGATCTTGCCGTCGGCATCCGACTTGATTTTGAAGAGCCACTTGGACGTTATCGCCGTACGCCCCTCCGGTAGCTCCACCAATTCAAACGTGTCATTCTCCTCGATGCTCTTCAGCTCACTCTCCATGGCCTTCTTCCACTCCTCAGCATCACTACTCTCCAAAGCCTCCTTGAGAGTTGCTGGTTCTCCCGGCATCTCCACCGGAGAGAAGAACGCGAAGGCACACTCCTCGTAGTCACTCTCCTCGTCGTCTCCGACCATCATTGCCGCTCCGGCCAGGGCTGTCTTGCCCTGCTTTCCCGGCGCATCATAGGTCAGCCTATTAGGGGGTTGAACTCTCCTCTTCCCCCTTCCTTCCTCCTCAGCTGCAGGGACTTGAAGGCCTTGGCGTTGCTGCGGTGTGGCTCGAATCCGTGGAGCACTCGTAGTACGGGAAGGGAGTGACGGTGCACGCTCGCTCACTTGCTGCACCTCCTCCTCTTCTTCCTCTGCATCATTGGCCTCCTCTCCCCCATTCACAAGGGAGGATTGCCTTGTGGTTGTGCTGCCGCTGCTCAGCTCCAAAGGCAGCTCCACATGCTCCTAACCGGAACTCTTCACCTCCCCAAACCGCACGCCTATCTTCGCCTCATTCTCCGCCTTCCAATCCTTGTACATGAAGTTCTCCATGAACTTGCAGTCCCTGCTCACCAAGAACTTCTTGGTGAATGGGTCCCAAAGAAGCCATCCCTTGCTGTTTTGAGCCATGCCCAAGTGCACGGCCCACACCGCCTTGGCACCAAGCTTGTTGTGCCGAAGATGCTTAGGCACGAGCGCCATGCACATGCACCCGAACACCCGAAGCATATCCACCTTTGGCTTCCTTCCTAGCCACTCCACATAGGGCACCCATTTGTCTGCTCCCACATGAGTCAAGGCTCTGTTCTTGGCCACACACGCGCTCCGCACCGCATCAGGCCAGAAATAGTCGGGTAGCCCGGCTTCAATGAGCAACCCGCGTGCCGCCTCCGTGATTGTGCGGTTCGCTCGCTCGGCGATGCCGTTCATTGCAGGGGAGTATGGCATGGTGAGGGAGTGCCGAATACCATTCTTCTTCAGCCACAACCCAAACTCCTTGCTCAGGAACTCTCCCCCTCGATCGGTGCGGATTGACTTGACTAGACGGTCTTGTTGCCGCTCCACCATCGGGAACCAATCCGTCTTCAACGTTTCAGCCACGTCGCTCTTCTTGGCCAGCACGTACACCCAAGTCATGCGGGTGTAGACGTCGACATTGGTGAGAAAATACTCAGCTCCAGCAGCTCCAAGCTTCAGGGGGCCCACCACGTCCATCACCACCTCATCAAGCGGTGCCTTTGCCGTTGCCTCCGAACTAGGGAACGGAAACCGGGTGAACTTGGCTTGAATGCACGTCGGGCAGCCAAGCACCTCATCGGGCTCCCCCTTCACACGTATGCCAGCAACCATCTCATTCTTCACTAGCTGCTGCAAGATGGGCAGGGCCACATGCCCCATGCGCCGATGCAAGGTGAGCCAATCACACTCCCCCGTAGCCGAAGTTGGATTGGAGAATGCCGCGCTCGCAATAGCGCCCCACATACTCTCTCCGTAGTCCTCCTCCGCTGCTGCCTCTGGGTTCTCCTCACCCTTTTGCTGCTCCTTGGTTGCTGCACCACTCTCCTTAGGTTCACTGAACTTGCTGGTCCCTCCAGGTTTGCTCTTCTTGCGCTCATTCTCCTTAGCGCGACCGTTCGCGCCATCGTCGCTACCGACCGCTCCATCCTTGGTGCTGATGCTTGCTGCCACTTGCCTCTCCTTAGGCATAGGGACCACTGGGATCTGCCACATCTCGTTGTAGACATCCCTGTCCTCATGAAGGTCCCAAAGAATTCGATCGCCAAGCCTTGCGGTGTAGGTCTTGGCTCCCTTCGAGTTCGTGTCCATGCCGGCCTTTGCCAACCGCCGCACGGAAATCAGGTTTGCAGCAAGGCTGGGCACCCAAAGCACGTTCTTGAGGCCCACCATCTTCCCATCAGCACCCTTGAACATGGCCTTGCCCATGCCTTTCACCTCTGCTTGCTGCCCCAAAGCCGATGTGACATGCTTCACCGGTGACGGCTCGAGTTCGGTGAGCAAGTCCGGGCGAGGTGTCATGCTATAGGTAGCGCCACTATCAATCACCCAATAGTCCAGGGGGTGTAGGGTCACCTT